TAGAATAAACATAATATCTTCAGTTACATTAAAACAATATTTGTCCTTGTTAATATTATTGGAGAGTACTGATATGCAGATATCCAAACTTATGGGACTGTATTGCATGGACATCACAATGTCACAACAATACAAACAGAAATATTATAAAGTACAAAACCTTTTGCACAACAGTATCTTGTGTAATAATAACCAGATATATTCTTATGTAATTTTGATACTTTTCTTCATGCAGTGCAATGTAATCAGGAGACAGAGCTGATCGGGGACTTGTTCAAAAACTACAACAAGAATATACGTCCAGTATTACATCCTGAAGACAAAGTGGGGGTTCAGATCAAGCTGACCCTCACTAATCTTATTTCCCTGGTAAAAGCTTCATTTTGCTACTTTTTGCAATACATCTTTTCCGCACATTAAGAATATATGAGCATTACTTAAGGGTGGAAACATATTCAAAAGCATTACGGTTAAAAAATGCGATTAATAATAATCTCTCTGGTGTGCATTTACCACAGCCACTATCATATGAGCTACACAGCTCAATCGATCTCTTCTTTCGTTCCTACAGAATGAAAAGGAGGAGACTCTTACAACCAATGTGTGGATTGAGATTGTGAGTTGTATCTCTCTTCGTGGTTGTCATTTTCCTTTCTTTGTTTGAGAGTTTTGGTAGAAGGCATTTCTCCCTCGTCTTTGTCCAGCTTTTAATATCACTGCTGATTTTTTTCTCAAACCACAGCAATGGAATGATTACCGCCTTGCCTGGAATGCTTCTCAGTATTATGGCATTGAGGTTATTCGTGTCCCGTGCAAAACTGTCTGGCTTCCTGATATAGTTCTTGAAAACAAGTAAGGCAGTAACAAAAAGGAGCGCAATTCTGTCTCTTTTGTTTTTTGCGTTCTGGACAGTTTGTTTGTTAACCGGTTCTGGTCTTTGTCCACAGCATTGATGGCAAATTTGATGTGGCCTACTATGCCAATGTGTTGATCAGCAGTGATGGTGGGATTTACTGGCTGCCTCCTGCTATCTATCGCAGCACATGTGCCATTGAGATCACCTACTTTCCGTTTGATTATCAAAACTGCACACTTGCATTCAGGTGGGATTTATTAATCATTTGAAATCTACGTTTATATTATATGTAAGTCTTTCTTTATGCATTTGCTTCTATTAAACTTTGGCTTGATTGCCACAACTGTAGATCCCAGACTTACAGTGCCAATGAAGTGGATCTTACCTTGGCTGTTGGAGAAACGGGGGAGATTATTGAATGGGTGGACATCGACCCTGAGGCTTTCACAGGTACTGTAAATACACCATCCATCCATCCATCCACACATCAATCCATACCTCAGTCCACATTAACAATCATAATATTCAAGTTTTGAAAATCCTTCAGGTTTTTGCATTTACACCCTTTAGAGAATGGTGAGTGGGCCATTGTCCATCGTCCAGCCAGGAAGATGATCAACAGTCGGTATTCCCCAGATGACCTGGAGTATCAGGAGATCTTGTTCAATCTGGTCATCCAAAGGAAGCCGCTGTTCTACATCATCAATGTTATCCTGCCCTGTTCCCTTATCTCGTCTCTGGTCGTACTGGCCTACTTCCTACCTGCACAAGGTCAGTAAGGTCGATGCTTTTCCTGTTTCACTACTAAAGTTTGAAACATGCCAGATGAACACATTTGTCTCATAATTTTCTGTATCCAGATGTAAAACAAAACAATAATGAACTTGATTTGCTCTCCATAATAATTTTAAAATAATTTGGACTTAGCCTTTTTATTGTGTTTGTCACTAATTAATAAAAACTAATCACTAACTGCTAATTCAAAGTAACTGAACTACAGAGCCTAAAGGTTTGATGTGGAAAGCATTCAGCTAAAGCTCTAAGACTGATGTTACTGTAATACAGCTGACTTTTAAGTCTTAAATCATGAAATATTACAAAGCATTCCTTGATGCCTGAAGTAGATGAAAGAGAAGAATGTCCTTTTTTTTTTTGGTCCAACCGGTCTAACTCTCTGCTGCTCCCTCACAGCTGGAGGACAGAAGCTGACCGTGTCCATCTCTGTTTTGCTGGCTCAGACTGTCTTCCTTTTTCTTATCGCTCAGAAGATCCCCGAGACCTCTCTGTCTGTCCCTCTAATTGGAAAGTGAGTCAGCATGTCCTCTCTGCTGACCCCTGCTGGTTTGTTTTGCTTCAATCCAAACAGTTTGAGCCTGCCCTCCAACAAAGATCTCTCTAATGTCTTCCCCAGGTACCTGATCTTCGTGATGTGTGTCACTACTCTCATTGCTACGAATCAAATTGTAGTGCTGAACTTCTCACTGCGCAGCCCCAGCACTCACAGTATGTCCCAAACCCTCAAACATGTAAGTGCCCTCCACGGAGATGAGTAAACTTGTTTTTTAAAGAGTTATTTCAGTAAAGTGACTGTTGTTAACTTCTATTGCCTGCTGCAGCTGTTCTTGAAAATGGTTCCCCGCTTCTTGGGCATGTCTCCGCTGGTGGACGATAGTGAGGTGACAACAGAGGTAAATGGGGTGAGGGAGCGGCGGCGCAGCTCCTTTGGCCTCATGCAGAGAGCAGAGGAATATGTGCTCAAGCAGCCTCGCAGTGAAATGATGTTTGACAAGCAAAGAGAGAGGCATGGTCTCACGCGATCCATTGGTAAGACCGTTGATTACAGAGCAACACTCAGCACAGTCTTTAGCTCACATTTCAGCTCAAATACTTAAATATTTGAAAATCAAAGTAGAAAATGTATCTGGTTTAATTAGTGCTGATCACTGCAAATTGTCATCTAACGCAGTGTCTCCCTCCCTCTAGTGGACAGTATAGATGTCAGCAGCACAGCTAACCTATATAAGAGTTTGGCCCAAGCTGCACCTGAGATTAAGCAATGTGTGGATGCCTGCAACTTCATTGCTGACAGTACAAGGCAACAAAATACCATTGGCTCTGTGAGTGTTTGTTTGTTTGTTTGTTTGTTTTAACTCAACTTCAGTGACGTTTTAGATGAGTAATATTTTGCAGTCAATTTTCATTTTATCCTCACTTGAACTTAAGCTTTTGTTCACTTTCTTTCCAACTCAAGGAAATTGAAAGCTGGGTCTTGATTGGGAAAATGGTCGACAAAGTGTGTTTCTGGGCTGCTATGTCTCTATTCATCATCGGCACAGTGTGGATCTTCCTAACAGGACACTTCAACCGTGCCCCAGAATTACCATTTCCAGGAGAGAGTAAAAAATATGTCCCAACTTAAAAAAGGAGAGAAAAAAAGAAATTTGTCTCTGTTTAATGTTTTCGAGGTATATTTTGCCTCGTGCTGTTTATGATGATGAACGCAATGTTGTTCACTGATCCCATGGTTAAGATTCAGGGCTGAGTTAAGTCTGTGTTTGATAACAACAAAACTTTCTGTTTCCATGCTTGTCAAACACCTGAGCATCAACATTCAACGTTTCTTAACTTCTAAACTAAGTTGTCAGCATTTCTATATTAAATCACAATTATTTTGTTAGTTTTGGGGTATGAGAATGTATGCAAGCCCAGACTTACAGCTTATAGATGCATTTTGAAGAAAAAATGTTAACGGCACTGCACCACTGTGCAAAGGGATTTATTTCTATTGCAGAAAATGACTTTTATGACTTTGTTTTGCATAACATGAAGCTACAGGCACTGTATGCTTTAACTAAAGAACCCATTTTACTTGCATGACCATCTACAAAACACTCAGAAAACATATCTCTGCACACATATTATGTCTTATGGTCATTATCTATATATGTAACATGAGCCAACCAACTCTAAATCAAAGCCTTATTCTTCTTACTATGACTTATTATTTGGAATGTATTGCTTACAGTAGATGGCTCAGTGGGACACTGTTTGGCGTTAACTGTACCAGGACTTCTTTTTTTTTTAAAAAACAAACAACTAATTCTTTAGTTTATTACAAAGTGTGTGTTTTAATCTTGAACTGAATGTCTAAGTAGGTGTTTTATATGTTTATACGTCAGAAAGTGTGAATCTGCAAAGTGTGGCTAAAACCTAAAACTGTGATCATATTTTTTACAGTTATTTTGAGTGGTGTTACTCAGCTGATTCAATAAATGTGACAGAAATGGGCTAGCAAATCAAAACAAGTCTAAACACTGTTGAAATTTCACACACTGAAGACTTGAATGGTCTATGTTTGTTTTTCTGTTCGTGTCCAGCTGTGTTCAAAGTTACACAGTTGGGTATTTAGGGGAGATATTCTATAATATAGTGTGTTCATGGCAAAAACAAAGGAAAGCTCACATCAAGTTTGGATCTGCCATCGGGTTGTATTCATTTTATAATGTGTATAATAATATTTAATAAAGTGGAATAAAATGTGAGATTAAACCACATAGAAAGGTTTGACTGTTGTGTCACTGATAGACTGCTGTTTAAAAATCCAGTCAGACTTGTGGTTGAACGCCTCCATGTGGTGGAAAGTTGCACTAGGGATACTTTGTTAATAGCGCCACCTCACACCAGTTTTTGGAGTTGTCTTTGATTTTTCCGAAAACATCAACCTGTCACATCACTGTTTAAACCAAGATTGTAAAAAAAGAAAAGAAAAAATCAAACTCAAAAGGTAAAAACCAAACCTTTCACGCCTGTGTTTTTAATATCAAGACCTAGAAGTATGTTTGCTTTAGATACAGCAAGTCTAAAGTTCAGCTGACACATTGTTACTGTTTTCTCTCAGCGTGTGCAACTTCAGCTACAGGCTAGGCATGTGTGCTGTCATCTAAAACCTGTACCTGTTTCGAAAACCAGTCCGGAAAGTCTTTTTAGTCATTTCAATTATTTCTCCAACCTGTCAGGCGGGGCTGTGGCTGAGGAAGCTGGTTTATGGTTATCATGCAAACAACTCTCCAGATTTCGCTCACTTTGCATGGGCGTGAGTCATCAACTCTTTTTTTAGGTACTAGCAATATGAAAATGCCATACCTCTGTTCGTTTAATCTAATAATGCACGGTTTATCTTCGAAAATAGGAATACAGATAAAACTAGAATGAAAGTTAAATCTGGTTGACTTTAGTTGATGCTCACGTAACATGTACTTCCGGTGTCCCACTTCAACGTTAAAGTTTGTACAGTTTTTTATTCTAAATAAAACTGTACAAAACACATTGTTGGTTTGTCCTAAAAACGCGTTTTAGATGTAAATTTTGGTATCTCGTCGGATAAAATAAAATATACATATAATCGGAAGTCTCCTGATACCTTACGTGATTCTCATGAAAATGGCATACGTGCCGCCTACTCCCTTCTCGTGTATCTGAATTCCTGCATATATGTTTCCTGACAAGTATGAAATCGGGACTTGTTGTGTTCGTGTTTGATAATTGTGGCAGTCCACACGTCAGTAACGTGAACTAAGTCCATGAATGCGCCTGCTATGTACACAGCCGCAGGTACCGGAGGGGGAGGAAGTCATTGTTTGTTTTGTGTCATAATTCCGAACATCACCGGGCTCTTTTCCATATAAGAATAAAAAGGGACATAGTATGATTTACCTAATAACAGTGGCAAAGCAGCAGAAACCATTTCCACGTTATCTTTTCCCTCACGCTGTCCCATCGGACAGCCAGTAATAATGTGGGTGGGACTAAAGCGTGCATCACCCACGGTTAACACTGATGAACTCTTCTCTGATACTCCGGTTGGGCTACAATGAAACATTTTTGTTACTTTGAATGACTCTTTAAGCTCTTCGCCCTGAGTGTGGAGCCGCCGTGAGCCGATCCGTGGCTCGAACTTAGCTGACAGTAAGTATTTTTTCAGGCCTATGTCGGACTTCTATTTCCACCCGCTGTGTTGTCGCAGTACTGACGAGTGCGGATTGTCCAGCTGCAAACTCGCAGGTAGAGATAAGGAATACGGCGATCCTATTAGTGCCGCGCTTAAATCTATGTTTTGTTTCCAACAGATGTCTTTATATGGGAAGTTTTTTTTAAAACTACACCGAGTCTCTTTGTGGATTGTGGCTGTAGTAGGGAAACAGGGAAAGGGTGGAGACGCCAAAACTTAGCCTTCAGCTTTTCCAGCCTGGAGTCTCAAGTAGACTTTGCTGCTTATAGATGCCTTGTCTTTGGCGAAAAAATTAAAAAGTGATTTTCGTTAGTGTAGATTAGGGTGTGTGCTTAAGAAAACTCCATCAGATATTTGTTTTATTTCTCTCTTTGTCCCTCTTTAAGACGTTTTTTTAAACACTGACTTTTTGCCCTAACGCAAAAACGTGATCAGGCGGACTATTCTTAGCCACAGCACAGTTTTGGGGGAAAATGCTGATGGTAAGCAAGTGTTGACTCAGCGCTGTTGTTTCAGTCATCAAGTTGATGACTAACAATTGTCTTCTGTCACTTGGTTGCACGTTTTAGAGTCGGTCCGTAGATTTCCCATACAAATTCATTTTAAAGATCACGTATGCAAAGCACAACTTCCCCTCAATCAAGGGAAGACCATTTTTTAAATAGGTCAGCTGATGTTCAGGCTGAAGAGCTGATGAATGATGTTTAAAAGAAAAAGAAAATATGATGGGTATGCAAACAGCTTAAAAAACGGGGGGGGAGGGGGGAGGTTGCAGGTGAAGGATTGTCAGAGGTACACTGCTGCACCTGTACACGCACCCAGCTGTGATGTCAGATTGTACATCATCATTGCAGGGTGTGCCATCCTTATCTAGTTGAGGCCATCAGTGAAAACTGCATGGAATTAAGCTGCTATGTGAAGTGTGATTGTTTTGCTGATCGTCTCCTAACATTTCCCTTCCCTTGCCAGGTGTCATTGTTTGAGATAACCACTGGGAGTCAGCAAAGCCAGGAATCTCCTTATTTATCCCTTTATCCATAGATTTTCTTCCACTTATCCATTCAATTTCTGGAAGCTGGAGCCTATTTCAGCTGTCACAGGGCAAAGGCAGGGTGCGGGTAGTCAGTCTGTCACAGGGCCGACACAGAGAGACAGACAGCCATTCATAGAGAAATTCACACATAACCGCAGTGACTGCATGCCTTTGGGCTGCGCGATGAAGCTGGAGTACCCATGGAGAACATACAAACTCCACACAGAAAGGCTCCAACTAGATGGTGGATTTGAACTCACCTCCTGCCTTTTCATTATCCAAACAAACACAAAATATGTTTTGAATTCAACACAGCACTGCTATCAGTGTGTTTGATAGTATTTGTAATTGCTCCAGAGTCAGTACTGCTGAGAGATAAAAGTCATCCATTGCACCCCACACATACACACAAACAAAGCCACATTGTTCTTGACACATAGTGTGTGTGTTTAAAGGATTGCGATCATTGGACTCTTGCTAATAGCTTACTTCTCAGCCAGTCACAGCATTCCAATTTGATTAGTCTCATGTTTTATAAAACACAGTGTGGGTATAGTGTAGTATTTACCGTGAAAGTAACCTGAGCAAACAGTGTAGGTAAAGTTTGACTCAGACATGCAAAATGCAGGGAAATCACGTTAAGTCAACACTTAACACTTAAGTGCTTCAAAATGTAAACAGATAACAGCAGCTAGTTGGGTTTGGTACTTAATGAGAAATATCTGTTTTGGTTTAGTTTTTATCATGTTTACCTCTGTATTGTGCGTCTTGCTTGCTTAGGGACAAGTGTGAGCAAGTCTTTCATACAAAAGTATAACACCTAAAAGTGTGTGGAAACACACTAAAGATCTCACATGTGAGTGTCTTAAAAAGATCCAGCTCCATAAGTGGAAATAACCAAAAAAAGTCAAAAGTATAAATTGAAATAGCCGAAATTGAGTATGGCCCTAGTGTGGAGATTTTTTTTCCACAGCAATTAAAATGTCACTTGTGCTTTCTTGGGAAGCAAAGGTGGGGAAGATCCGTCCTAATGGGATTAAATTCTAAACCAGATTGTTGTCAAGACAAAAAAGCTTATACGAATACAACATATACACAGTGGTGATCTATATTTAAAAAAACATGGCTGTACAGATGACACATTTGGGATGAATACACTGTGCAAATGTGCAGATCTCTTCAACAGCAGTGCTTTTGATTCATTACATCAGCAAAAAGTGGAAAGAAGTCTCCTTATTAGTAGATGCTAGTTTACGCCCGACACAGTAATTGTGACGGGATCTTCAATTATTATTCTTCCTGAACCTGTTTTTGCTACACATGATCCTGTGTAGCTTGTAGTGGAAGTGGAAAGTCACGTTTCTGATAAAAAGAATGCAGACGCAGATTATGCTTCTTTCTTTCTTACCCTTGTTTCAAACTCTCTCTCCTTAACAGAGACAGGCTCCCTCCCTCTTTTTTCTTAAGCCTCGTTTTCCAGGAAACATTCAGCTATTCTACATTTACCAACATGCAACACAAAGGGTTTCACACACCCTTTTTTTTCACCAGTAACCTTGTCCTAAACTTCTCATATGTTTTGACATAAACGACTTGCCTAGCAGGTCGCTGCTGACAAACATTTCCAGTTTACTTTCTATTTTCATGCAAGTGATATCTAAAGCAGTCTGTTTTTACAGAAGTGATAATGGTGGTTGTCCTTGAATTCCCCCTGTTGAGCAATCATGATATGTCATCATTATTGAGCATTAGATTCACTTCAAGGTCATGATCACACTGACGGATTTTGCTAAGCATCAAACACTTAAACTGCATCTCTCGGTCTGTTTTAAAGCTGACATGTTTGTGGTTACAGGTCTGTATTATTGCCTTTATTACTACTTTTCCTACAGAAAATCTGAAGTCAGATACTCTTGCTTTAAAATCCGATTTTGCTATGATCTATATCACGAGAAAGGCCACAGTTTCACATGTCTTTGATCTCTGGACTGTTTTCTTTTGTCTTCTCACCAGGGCATTTGATCATTTGTGCAACAGAGCTATGGCCAGTCCAGAGGACGTGATCGAGCCGTTGGCAGAGAGCGCAGCTGCCCAAAGCCTTAATAGACGACGCTTCTCACACGACTGCCACGATTTGACTAAAGACGAGCTAGATGGCCTCATGTCGCGCAGTGGTGAGAAACGACGAAAATGAATTTAGTTTAAGATAGAAGCTCCCAGAAAACCATTTTTCTTGATTGCTTCAATTTTTCAAATCGCAGAAGGACGTCCTTTCATCGTGGTGCATCGTCTTTCCGAAATAGAAGATAAGGGTATACCTTATTTCATCCCTGATGTTCCTGTTAAATGCAGACTGGACAACACAGAGAAGCACACTACACGCTCAAGGGTACCTCCATAAACTTACGAAAATACCCTTTACATTTTTTTCTTTTTGGGATACTAATGAATCTTTATAGAAAGCTCTTGATGGGCCCAAAGTGAAAACACACACACTTATGCTTAATAAGTAACTCTTTACAACTGTGTAACAACAGACAATCCCATTTTCGATTTTGACTCAGGACATGCCAGGGTTAAATTTGACTACTTTGCCATGATGACGTTAAGTCATAGTGGAGCGAAAGGAGCGATAAAATTACAAAAGAAAACTTTATTGCTACTGAGCAGGCTGTTTCAGGGTTTTACAGTGTGCTGTCACTTTGGCCATAAAGGGATCAACATGGCCAGCAGCAATGCTCAGTGGTGCTTAAATGATGCTCACTTGGTAGTACGGGGCTCAAAGTGTGACAAGAAAATACCCCCCACACCATTACACCACTACCACCAGCAGCCTGAACCATGGATGCAAGGCACCAGAGACAACAACCATGCCACGTTCAAAGTCATTTAAATCAAATTTCTTTCGCATTCAAAATGATTAACAGCAGAATTTCATTTGTGGTGAATTTTATTATGACTGTTGTTGAATGAGTCCTAAAGATAATATTTAAGTGATCTGAAACCAACCATATGACCATGAAACAGTCAGTCACATTTATTTCTACATAGTCATTTATATTAAAAAGCAGAAGTTCATGGGTATCTTAACAAGTACTGATCTTCATGTCACTTTATTTGTAAGTTAACTCCTGAGTTTTAATTGGATGGCTCAGTCAGTTTGCATATACTTTCCATATTCTGGTATCCACATTCTCTGATTTTCTTTCTCCCACAGTCCAGAACGGTGAATGTAAGTAGAATTAGAAACTTGTTTCTACGTGTTTTAATCCAATCCACATGCTAAATGTCTTGCCTGATTTGCTTATATCCTCCGGAAACCCAAACTTTTTTTTTAATGCATTTTTAATCTTAGCTATTTGGGATTAGCTGATTATAAAAACTGTCTGCATGTGGAAACAGTGGGTTTATTTTACAACACAGTAAAGTATTTTCAGTGGGAGAAAGTGACTTCTTCACTGTCCAGATGAACAGAATCAACTTTTTGGGGTCATTCTTTTTTATTTTTACAAAGTGTAAAACACTTTATTGAGTAGAATGAAGTAGAATGTGTGTAAAAGCCTAAATGTAATTTCTCCATATGAGGACATAGGGTCTCAGGAGGATATGAAACAAAAAAAACCTTTACGCTACTTCCTGGTTCATCTTTGATCTGCAGCACTTACAAAATGGCAATTAAAAAAGGACTTTGGGTGTCTTAACTCTTATCTTCCAAGTAAGTGAATTAGAGATAAATTCATCTGTCTATTCAAATTGTGGCTTTCTTTCTTACTGGGAACTACGTTAAAGCTGCGGCTGGCAAAACACAGTCCAGTTGCTATGAAAACAAGAGCTAATAAGAAAAATTCTATTCCATTCAAATCACTCAAATTTTTGCCATTTGGTGGTTCCCCTTTTTCACCACCACACTTGTGTTTTTGTATGATATCAATGATGTCCCTCCAGGTTAGTATTGGGACCCTGTATACACTGCATCTAACACATGGCCAGTTCCACTGGACTATAAAGAGGAAGTACAAGAACTTTCAGGAGGTGCATCGCGACCTTTACAAGCACAAGATGATGCTTCATTTACTGCCTATTGGAAGGTTGGTGTGCAGATCGATTTAACTGTGCAACTTGGCCTCTCTCTCTTAATGCAGTTGAAATCTGAGTAATTGTTTGTTTTGAGCTTTTTTTTATGGCAGTTCTCTCAAGCACAGAATGTTTTTGAATATTCAAATTTTCCTCAAAGATTTGCAAAGGATAGGCAGCAGCTGAGAAATATGTCGGAGGAAATGCCCAGCCTACATGGGACTGAGCGGGCCAGAAGAACCTCCAGCAAAGTGGTATATAAATCAGTCTTCCACACACTGAACATATTTTGAAGCATCACATAATTTTACAAGTAGCAGCTGGTAAGTAAATTGTAAATATGTGCTCTTCTAATGCAGAAATACCTTGAGGAGTACCTGAATTGTCTACTGGAGAACACATTCTGTAAAAATGATAGCAGCATGGTAAGCATGGGTGAATAATATATACACTACATTGCAAAAGTTTTAAATCAGCCCTCTTCTCTGTATATTTTGCTTCCAAGGACCCAGACCATTTCAAGATATTCTTTAAAAATGGCTGATTTTTCATACATTTTCAGTCCTTGTACCTGACCATTTTTAGAGAAATGTCTTTTTGTTTGTTAAGACACTTAACGCATACCTATTCATCATTCAAGTACATCATTCAAGTACGAAAGATGCACCTAACCCAAGGAATGAACCAGTGTTGTCTACACTTAACAGACAACTTAACAAAGAATCTGTTTTAAATTGTGTCAGGCAGTCTGTCATAAAAACACATAATTTAATCCACTTTCATAAAAGGAATCTACCAAAAATGCAAAAGATAACATAGTCTTACAAGAATGAAATGATGTTTTTGCAACAACAAAATGATTCCCACAAAGCTATTAGTCTAAAACTTGGCACGAACACAGAAAAATTCTTTCACATTTTGATTCACCATACAATACCCATCTAGAAAGCCTCTAATTGGCAACAGGTTTATGCCAATGCAGCAAAGGATACGTGGATAGAAAAACCCACAGTGGAACACTCTCAGTCATGAGTTGGACAAAATATGACCAAATATTGACTTTGAAGCTTGTTAGAATTGTACATTACCTGATTTTCTTGATTTTTATACTGTACTCCCATGTATGTTTGGACATTTTTAAATAAATTGTTGCACCTATTTCTAATGTTTCTAGCAAAATACAAAGAAAAGGGAAGTGGCTCAAGACTTTTCATTGTACCATCTCGACATACAAAGTAAATCCCAAGTAAAATGACTGCATTTTGAGTTATATTTTGTTTTGCAGCTGGAGTTCCTCTCCATCAGTCCCCTCTCCTTTGTCTCTGATCTTGGACCCAAGGGCTTGTAAGCAAAACACTGAGCTCATGTATTTTAGTGGGTTGGGAGTGAATAAGGGTATGGCAGGTGTTCATTGCATAATATGTCTGATCTTGACTCAGGGAGGGATATATCTTGAAGAGGTCAGGGGGTCACCGAATCCTAGGCCTGAACTGTATAGGCCATCATCAGATCTGCTTCCGCTGGTCACGCCGCTGGCTGGTGGTGAAAGACTCTTTCCTGTTGTACATGAAACGAGATAGTGGCAGCATCGACTTTGTGCTGCTGTTTGATCCAGAGTTCAAAACAAAAGTGGGTCGTGCTGACACAGGCACCAAATATGGAGTGTGCTTTGAGAACTTTACTCGGTATGTCAGCTTTGTCTTTGTGTATTATATGTACTGAGTTTTGCGTGTTTTTGCTGTGTTTGTGATGCACGCATTGCCTTTGTGCTTTTAATCCTTTTAATCAGGAATTTGATTATCAAGTGCAACGGCTATAGGCAAAGTCAATGGTGGAATTCTGAAATCAAGCGTCTGGCAGAAACATGTGACTTTCTCAAAACGCAACGCTTCGAAGGATTCGCTCCACCGCGAGAGAACACGCTCACTAAATGGTCAGTTATGTAGTCTGGCTCATATTTGTAATAATTCCAATAATCCTTTAGGATTTGTCCTCAATTTACCTTTCATTATTTGAAGGTATGTGAATGGAAGTGGTTATTTCGCTGACCTGGCTGATGCTCTCGAACAAGCCAAGGAGGAGATTTTCATCACAGATTGGTGGTAGGTGTCAAAAATGTCTGGATTTGCTGATCAAAATCTTTATGTAACTATAATTTTTCAATATTTTAGTTAAACCTGGAAACGTATTCTGTGTGTGTGTGTGTGTGTGTGTGTGTGTGTGTGTGTGTGTGTGTGTGTGTTGGGTTTTTTTTTTTTTGTTTTTTTTTTTTTTTTGGGCTTTTTTCACAGGCTCAGTCCTGAAGTCTTCCTAAAGAGACCAGCAACTAACTACTACTGGCGGCTCGATGAGATCCTCAAACGCAAAGCAGTAGGAAGTCTCTGTCTTGTTATTGTTGCCATCTTGGTTTTTTTTTTCTTCTTTTTCAAAATGTATATAATTTGTAGAGTTTTTTTTAAATAACATTACTTTAAATGAACCTGTTTCTGCAGGAAATGGGAGTCAAAGTGTGTGTACTGCTGTACAAAGAGGTGGAGATGGCACTTGGCATCAATAGTGAGCACAGCAAGAGGACTCTAATGAATATGCACCCAAACATCAAGGTCTTTCACTTCTCTGCACAATGTCTTGTAGAGTAGTAGGAGAGGAGGGACACAAATAACTGTCAAAAGAGCCCTGAATGCACATTTTAACACCAGTTTTACCCACTGATCCGTCAGGTGATGCGGCATCCTGACCACGTGTCTTCTGTGGTGTTTCTGTGGGCTCACCATGAGAAGATGGTGGCCATTGACCAAACAGTAGCCTTTGTAGGGGGGCTTGACCTGGCTTTTGGGAGATGGGATGACAGCCAGTATCACCTAACTGACCTTGGTTTGACAGAGACGACCGACGGGGTAACTGAAGGCGAAACGAGGAACGATGTAGATGTAAGAATGTACTATGAACCGTACAAACTGTAATGGATGACTCTGTTATCCAGGGCAATGGTATGGCTGGTGGCTCTAAAACATCTGAGCCAGATAAGCAAGGAGAGCAGGACCCACATGATTTGACTGGTAACACTAAACTGTGGCTTGGCAAAGATTACAATAACTTTATCAAGAGAGACTGGGTCCAGCTGGATAGACCATTTGAAGGTACTCTATCTAAATTTCTTTCAGCAGCTCATGCACACACATACACTGACAATGCCTGAACAGAGAGATGAAAGACTTGTTTTGGGTTTTTTTTGCTTCCTTTCCCCCCTCTTTTATCTTGTCAGATAACATTGATCGTACTACAGTTCCTCGCATGCCGTGGCGTGACCTGTCTGCAGCTTTTCATGGCAAAGCTGCCAGGGATGTAGCCCGCCACTTCATCCAGCGCTGGAATTTTACCAAGGTCAGACACTAAAGAAAGCTGTGTTAAACAGCAATAGTTTTAACATTGATCTTTAAATATCTATATGTATATTGTAAACATCACTTTTGCTTTACAAATGAGTCTATAGGTGTACAAGCTACAGGTTGGTTTAACATTTATACTATAAATATCCAAAGTTGTGAAACTGAAACATTGGATTGAAAATAGGTGATCTTTACTAAAACAGAGCTTAAAATAATCAGACTCCTGTATTACTGACTTGGACCTTGTATCCTTTTGTTTTATGTTATCCTGTGTGGTAATATGACTCATACAGTAAGTGCTAAAAACAAACAAACATCCCAACCCTCATGTTTCCATTAGAAGTATTGCTTAAAAACCTTTAAGCAATGCTTTGGAAACATGAGTAACAGGAAAGTGACAAAACTGAAATTGATTCATTTTTTCTGTCCTCTTCAGATCTTCAAAATCAAGTACAAAGACGACTTCTACCCTTACCTACTCCCCAAGTCTCATTCCACTGCTGACTCTCTGCCATTCACTGTGCCTGGGTCCAAGAAAGCCAAAGTGCAGGTATGTATATTCACACACAGACTCAAGATGACGTCAACATCTGTGTAAATATACAATTTTTAAAGTTCTAGTCTTTTTGCTCACAGATAGGCCCACATATGTGTTACTGTAGTCAGGGTATATTTTAGGTGCTTTAAGATTAAACAGTTCCGGGAATTCCCTGTGGGTAACTACCCACTTCCATGGCCCTCTGAGAACTATATTTTTTTCCAATTTGCTTAAATCACCAGTAGTAACGCTAATGTGATGCGTTAGCCAGCTGGTAGTTTGCAGAGCCACAACAACAGCAACATGCTGGGGGACTCTGTATCTGGAGCTGTTTGCTTGTTGTGTGTTCCAGGTTGCTGACAACAGCACAGATGTGCAAATTCATATTATGCAAATTAAATTGTGAATTTTGTGGGCTTTAAAGTAAAACAACATATCATCGCAACTGACCATTTTCTTTATATGCTGTCAATTATACAAGGAGCAAGTAATCTTAAACAGGTTAGTGGCTCTAACTCTTTCACTGTGCCTCCCATCTGCTGAGTATAGTTTCCAAAAGCATGAACAAATCAATCAATCATTAGTGCCCAGCATATTCTCATCTATTGCCAAGGATAGCACGCAGGAAAACATACTGGAACCACTTTGGTTGTTGTGGTCCTTTAACTTTGTTGTAATCCAAATTTAATTGATTATAATCACTTAATAAAGCCTAGACTTTTCCATTTGAGAGGAATGTGTTGTTTACACGGGCAGTGTTAAAATCCTTCTTTAATGACTCTGCTTATGTTTACATAGGTTTTTCAGATCTTTCCTGAAGTCCAAAGAGCACCTTTTTAGCCCTTTCATACATTGTCGTCAAAACAACGACAGGTTAAGATGTGAGCCTTCGTGCATATGATGTGACATTAGCATGCTAGATACATTATATAATTATTTATTATTATATTATTATATAATAGTTTTATTCATCACTGCTTACATATTTGCTGCAGAACTGTAGCTGGTTGTAAAACTTTCCACAGTTCTGTTTCAGCAATTCAGTCATGTGCAAAAGAAAGTGTAACCCCTTTCATTTCTAATGTTTTATGTAACAAGAGAAACCTCATCATTGCACAGTTATTTAAATGCATGGTGGTGGTGCGGTGATTATTTGGGCAGGCTAGCTTGAACCAGATGATTTTTTTTATTCTGTCTGATATGTAAAACCTTAGAACTAAAAGAGTCTGTACTTTCATTTGCACAGGACTGTAGGCTTCACACTAGAGCTTGATAGAAACTGGGTTCTCCTACACAGAAGGTCAACCTTGGATATGGGAAAACACAAAGACTTTCCCTCTAGCTGCCAGTGCTCATATGAAAGACTTTTTGTGTCACACAGCTCCAAGCTATAATGACATGGTGTAAAGAGAGCTTTCAACATCACTGTTAAGACGGCAAGAAGAATTGAAAACATGTAGAGTGCACATTAATGAAACGTTGCTGTTGGTCTTATGTATACTGTATTCTTATTGAATAATTATTTAAGACCTTAATTGCTGTAAACAAGCCAAGAATGAAAGACCTCTACTGACTTTTACATGAATTTATTCTTTTGTGCTGCCAGGTCAGATCTTACAGAGGAAATCAGATGGGTATTTCTGTGCTACAACAAAGAGACACTGTTCTAGTGTTGGAAATGCAGCTATTCAGTATTTGCTGGGTTTTGTTTTTTTTTGTGCTATGGCAGATGGTGGAACAAAAGTAAAGCCTGTAGAACAAAACTACTTCCAACATATTTATCCTGTTTAGTAAAGCCAGAGAAAACAAATGCAATGCCAAGGACAGAGTGGGATTACAAGTGGCAGCATCTCATTTGCAACAGGCTTCATAGGATCTATGGTCCAGAGAGACACCAGCATAAGCAGCACAACTAGCAGGTATCCCCTTAACAGAATAATAGAATAATAATATATTGCTAAAGATGCTGCGTTAGCAACTTTGTGAAGATGCTTGTTTTGTTAGAATAATTCAAAAACAAGATGACAATATGTTAGAACTGTATTTAATCAGTATTTTTAGCCAGTGTTACATGCTGCAGTTAAAACTGCTCAATCAGTGAGTGTCCAGTAACAGATACTTCTATTGTGGATGGTGGCCTGTAACCATAACCCTTGCTCCCCATTATGTTGTAGCTTTCCTATCAGGTTCTGTAGCTGCTTTATTCAGGTTTCAGGGTCATTGCCTCAGATTACACAATATGTCTTCAAACTTTTAGAGGTGCGCTCCCTTTTTGTGCATCTGCTCCATTTCTTCTGTTAAGTATCCTATTAAAATTCATAGAAATGGGCAAATTTACATGTGCAAGGTAATATGATATGTAAGTGTGATTGCAATGGTGAATATCCACAGTAATAGTAAAATGACACCATTGAAAAGAGAAAATATATGCATGATTTATAAGTATATCCAGTGCTAAGTTGAATTTTTGGGGTTTTCTCAGGTGCTGCGCTCTGCTGATCGTTGGTCAACTGGAACCTGTGAGAGCTCAATCCATAACGCCTACATCGACACCATCAACAAGAGTGAACACTACATCTACATCGAGGTAATTAAGATTAACATTGTAGCACTTTACAGATAAATGTACATCTTTAAGCAGGCAGTGTGTCATCCTGTCTAAGCCATATTAACGCTCGCTGTGCCTTAATATGGTTTAGACAGCAGTGATACAGTCAGGGCTCCCATTGGGACAAAATTGTCACCGTAATCGCAAATATGTTGCCCAAGAATAGGCTCTGATTTGGAAAAAACAAATCTGTTTACCAGCATGCCTACTGTAATGACTTTTCCTGAATCTGAGTATATCCAAAGCCCACTTCCTTCATTGCCAGCTACCTGCTAGCTTTGGCCCTCACCTCATACTGAGCCACCATCTGCCTTGCCTCTGCCCTTAGAACCAGTTCTTCATCAGCTGTTCCGACCAGAAGACTGTCCATAATGGCATTGGTGATGCAATCGTGAATCGAATTCTGCGTGCCTACAGGTATGATTTGAGTGTGTTGGTTTTCTAATATTTGTCTATTGTCTTTCGGAAGGGCTGTGTACAAAATGCATTCATTAAATATGTTTTGTACCAGATTTAGCTACTAGCTAATTTCCATCTGCAGTCCCTGGGCAATTTAAGAAGCAGAAGTAGCTGAATTCTATCAGCTCAGACACACATACAACAGTTACAAGTGTTTCTTACTTGTTGGCCAGCAGCATCCCATGAAGGAGCAGTGGCCATCTTCAGCTAAGATGCTCATTTTTAACTTGTAACGATGTGTGACAGCGGCTGTCAATCATTAGTGTATGCCCTGCCCATGCCTCGCCCACTTGACACATGCCCACAACACAAAATCAGGGTCAAAAGTTTGACAAATGAAAAAAAGCGGAAAAAAAGGCCCGAAACTGAAAAAAAAATTAATTTGTAACAGAAAATAAAATTTGAAGCTGAAAAAAATGAAACTAAAAAAAAAAAGTCATTTCCATGAAAACAAATAATTTATTCAAATTATTTTATATCAAAAAGAATTTCAACTTCAAATCACCTTTTTGAAATGAGTAAAACTTTTGACCATGATTTAGCTCCATACTTTGTAATTCAGCAGAAACTCGCTCAGGTCCTTGCATGCCATCAGATTTATCTTGTGTTTTTTTTTCCATATTGCATTGAAATGTTTAGAAAAGCTGTGGCTTTAAAACAGCAGTTTGTGAAAGAAGTTAAGACAAGACATGTAAGAACAAATGCAAATATCACTGAGCTGGTAAACTAGGGGTACACATTTGAAACAAAATGTTTAGTTCAAAGAAATAACAAAACCAAATAGAAATATACATTAGACCTCATCTTTTATCTGCAGAGTACAATGTACAGTGTTGATGTTGTGTTTTTTCAGAGAAAAGAAGAAGTACAGGGTGTATGTGGTGGTGCCTCTGCTTCCTGGATTTGAAGGAGACATCAGTACAGGAGGTGGAAATGCCATTCAAGCTATTCTGCACTTCACTTACAGGTGAGAGCCTTTTCCGCCCATTAGCACTCTGCACTCAGCCCACACATCAGCAAGCACTACAACTTATGAAAGCCACAGTAAAAACAAAACTTCTCAGCTTCGTCTGGTTTAAAGACATATTTCTGATTGAGCAGAAATGTCACTGATAGAAAATGCATAAGACATGTCAATAAAACTGGTAATGGAAGTTGGGGTAGCTACCATGCATGTAAGGTTTCTATCAATCAACTGGTCCAACTGGAATAGAGCATATCGAGTCATATTACATATTACATTGAGTGATGTTGCTTAATCAGCTTTGTCAGCATGTTGTTATTGCCAGAATGCAGCATGGCCATGTTATGGTTTCACTATCATCCATCACATTTCCAAATCTGCCTTTGATGTTATGCCCAGAAGTGTACTCTCTGTATATGCTCTAGATATTTTTGGGTTTTTTTTGTGAGATTCCTAAATTATTTCCCCTTATGCTGGCTGGCTTTCTTAATGTAAGGTTTTATTCTGTCATCCTAGGACCATGTGCCGAGGGGAGTTCTCCATCCTGTCAAGACTAAGCGAATGTAAGTTTTTTTTGTCACTTACCTGCTTTGTTAGACCTCGGAAATCAGCCTGACATCAGCCTTTGCTGCCTGGCTAACATGCATCTTTCCTTCCCCTTGAGTTGTTCCTTTAAATTGACTCTACTGGTCTTCACTTCACATCATCTCATGTAAATAATGTGTTTCTGCTCTGGCCTGCAGTGAAGGATCAGTGGACAGAGTACATCACACTGTGCGGATTGAGGACGCATGCCCAGCTCTCCGAGTCACCTGTCACAGAGCTCATCTATGTTCACAGCAAGACCCTCATTGCTGATGACCGCTGCTATATCATTGGTGAGTCACCGCTGGGCATTCAAGGATTATAATTCTGACCTTGAGTCATCACAGAGGTTCATGACAAAACGATGATGACATAATGCTGCCTGCAGCTGATATGATTTTTTTTAATGTGTTTTTGGCTTTCAGTGTAAAAATAAAACTGAATCGATACATTTTATATGTAGTTTAGTAGCACCTATAACTGTAGAATACGGATATGAACGAATACAGTCATTTATATATAAAAAGATAAAAAAAATAGGACGACTTAAAAAATGGATGAGACCAATGTATGGTGCAATGACTTTGAATTCTTTTTTCTTTCTTTCTTTCATTGTTTAGCCTTACACTCTTTAAGATTTTAGGCTTACTCCATATGAATATGCAGATTCACATGCAAGTCTTTGTGGGAGGAACAGAGGGATTGCATTTGCTTAAACGTGCTCTGGAACCCACTAGCTATTGATGACAGTTAGCTTTGTATTACCTTTTAAAAAGATTTATCTGAATTCTTAAAGGTACAGTGAAGTTGTTTTTTGAGTTTGTTGAACAGAAAAACAGAATATTATACTCAACAACATACTTATATTGATTAGTGTGTAAGTACGTTTTCCAACAAACTGATGCATTCTCATAAACGTAATCCATTAAAAATACAAAGAAGCGGGCACTAATCGATGGAAGTTAACCATGTTACCCCACCCTCTTGAATACAGTGATTCAGATGAACATCGCCGTCCCGCTTAATCATGTTTTATGTATGTGGGTAGAGACAGCTACATACACAGTACGCCAAAGGTGGAGGAGAAGTGAACTCATAGGTGTGGAGACAAATGTAATTTATGTCTGCACCTTTAGTCTCAAGAAGGTATGAAGGGTCATGCGTTTGTTTTATCTCCTGAACTGAAGTCAGTGCTCTAACAAAAAAACACGCTTAAACAATCGTATTTAATGTCGATACTGCTGCAGTTACTTACTGTCAGCAGATCAGACATGTGATCCTCCAATATCTGGAGAGCTGATAATTAGCCAACTAAATGGCAACAACAGCTGGTTATGCTAACATTGTGCTAGCTAATGTTAGGCTCGAGTGTCCTAAAGATCACTCTGATAAAGAATCTGAATACATTTTCACACTGTATGAAAATATCCGAGGTCAAAAATGTTAGAACCACTTCAAAGAAAGTTTCACTAACAGAGGCTAACAGCGGCAAAAAAAAAAAAAAAAAATCAGGATGTTGTCAACAAATCACCTCCGAATCTCTGTCATTAGACAGATTTGAGCTTTAGAGACTCATGCTGACATATTGAACTCCATTTCCAAAATTTTACAGCCTCCTCCAGAGTAAATAGACGTGAATGCATTGGAGATTTCTCACTATATTCTGTACACCTTATAGGTTGTCGGCTATAGGTTCTATGTATTTTTTTCTTTTGCACTTAATACATGAAGAAAGATAAACAAAATGTTCTAAACAGTCCATGGACCTATTAAAGCAGAACTAGAGAAAAAAAAAGCAGCACTCATTTTAAATAAGGCTAA